TGCACTGCTAAATTAGGGACGGCTAGCGCAGATAGCCCCTGTGTAGCTTTGCGCGAAATTCAAACAAACAAACAAATCCATGCAGCTCGTACTAGATTTAATAATAAATTAATTATTGGGTGAACTTTATAGATATACACTGAAATAATAGTATTTCGTCTGCCCAACTAAAGAACATTTTACCATCTTAATAAAGTAAAAAAAGTACCATTATTTCTTGGGGGTAATACGTGGTCATATTCCTCTTCTGTTCCACAAGCATCTTCGCATTCTGCCTTGGTTTGGAAGTTGTTCTCGTTCCCTTCACAGCCTCCGTAAATAAATTCTTCGCACTGTTTGATGTCAGAGTTGTAATAATAGCGTTGGATGTACGCTGAACAACGACCAGTGTCACTGGGAAGGTTGCATAAGCTTGGAAAATTCTTAAAGCTACTTCTTCTGTCGTCTGAAAAAACTATACGAGGTCTTCGATTAAGCAACAGAACTGAAACCATTGATTTTAACAATTACTTATTTTCACAAAATCTCAGCATTGGCTGACGATTTGCTTGATGGCAAGTGTTAAAAATGTGTGGAACTGGTTGAAGTCCAACATAAATATTTAATTTCTCCTGAACTTTTAATTCAAAATCAAATCATTTCTCGTTGCCGTTAAAATCTCAAAATAGAAGTAATTTCAAAGATATATTTTTTTTTTCCGATCACTGCTGCCTCTCATGGTATGCAATGTCAAGTTTCGTTTATCCAAACATGAAAAAGCGGTTAACTGATGTCAGTGATACCATGACTGTCGTATCGTTATGACCATGTATAATACCCTAGCTGTTATGGGCTGTATTTTGCTTAACTACTGAAACTGAGAAAACTATAGAAATATAGAAGACGCCCACACTCTAGAGAATACTATCGCACGTCTAGAATGATTTCAGTGTTTATTGTTAAGGAAATGCAAGAATACGAAAATATAAAGTGACTACCATTTTCGATACTTATATAGCTTATGACGGCACCCTTGGCGGCGCCTGTCATGATAGCTAACGAACCGGGTTGTGGATCCGGAGATCGTGATTCGCGTCCCGTTACCATAACAACATGCCCACTGTTTTCTGCCCAACGTTTGTCGAGCAGTAAACTGCATCCGTTGAGGAAAGCACCTCAACTATTAAACTGTATAACTTTTGAGTGATTGGATCCACCTACCCTCGATTTCGAGGACGTTAAAAAAATTACTGTGTCTGGAGTGACTACTAAGATAAAACTTACCCTTTTCCACAGAAAGCAAAACTAAATATTTTGATTTTTAATATTATCCAAGTCTAATAAATCATTAGTGCAAGTCTCAATAAATTAAAAAACTGTGAATCGATAAACTTTATCATACGCTGGAAGCTCACAAAAATGTGTATGAATTTTGTTTTCTGATTTTATAAGTGTTGTAATAATTTCATATTATCCCAATAGATGGGGCTAAAAGCCTCAGATGAAAATCATATGTTTTCGTACAAAAGGGTGATATGAAAACAGAATGATGACAAAATATTGTTTCTGTATGTTGAGTAGGGTTAAATGAATTTTAGGTATATTGAAAACTATGTAACACATCTTAACGTGAAAAAAAAAAAGTTAATTTGTATAAAGACGCTATACATAAACTTTTGTTGGTTTTACAAAATTTTACTTATTCTCAAGTTAATTACATTGGGTTTCAGGTTAATTCTTTTATCAATAATTTGATTAACCACTTGTCACTGAGTTTCGGGGAATTCAACCCCTCATAAGCATGCCTGAACGAGGACAAATCAATTTACTTTTTACTCACATAGTGATCTTACATTTACGTATAAATTTCAAGAACGTGCAACATTGATGCTGCTAATTTATTCTTGTGAATTCTTCGGTGTTAACTTAGTAACCGAAATAAATTGGAAAACAACTTTCGTTTGTTAGTACACGCATTAATGAGATGATAATAGGTAAGCAGTAGATATAATTTCTTACTAATATTGCTTCATAGTTTCCAGCCTAGAAGAATTGTGGTTACCAGCTTTAACAACGTTGTTCAACTGATAAAGAGTTCCTTTCAACGATGTTATATGCAGATCTATATACGCAGTCGTGGTGAGTTAGTTCTTCTAGTGTAACAACTAAATATGTGTTCCAATAATTAATCTAGTTTACATGATAATTTACTTTTTTATATCAATACTGCGAAAGTATTATGCCTTAAGTTTTGGGGATACCTGGTCTTACGTGGGATACGTGCAACAAAAATGTACGTGTCGGGTTTGATATTTTTGGAAGATTTCAAGAAAGCGATTTTTACCCTCCAGTTTGAGTTATTCTTTCTTTAATCATATTATTTAAACGTTTTTATTATTTTATTCAACGAATCCAGTAACTAAACTTTTCCAATGTGTATATATATTATTTTTCTTTTACAAGTTATAATTAATTATGCACAAGGTTTAATCTTTAATTTTCTACTTACATTTATTAAAGTCATACACAAAATCCTTAGAAATTGGGCCACTGGAGTGTCTTCCCTGAGCCTGTAAACGAAACACAAGTTTACTGCGATCATTTGCGGAATGCGGCACCGGAACAGTGGCGAAATTTTCGCTTCCTTCAGTTGCTATCTCATTCCACTCACTAGGGGTCCCTGGTGTATCAACTGAGTAGTAGATTATGTATCCTTCACAGAAAAACAAACAGTTAGTTCGTCGAGACTGATATATTTTGAAAAAATATTGTATATTTACCTGATAACTTATCCTTTTAAACTTTTTTGTAGCAAATAAACTTATGTAAAGAACGTGAAAGTAGTGGTTCCACTAAGAACTCGGAAAAGGATAAAGAAATATAGTAGTAACTGTTTTAAATTTTATTCAAATTCTTACTTAGCTTCGTAAGAATATTAGGCCTATGCCTCTGTCTTTTTAATAAAACCAGAAGTTCTAATGTGGTACTTCATTTAACAGGACATAAATTAAAAACCTAGATATTTTGTAGCCATATATTGATAGCAACTGTAATGCACAGTACATTTTTAAATACAAAGGGATGGGTAAATTGTATTAAAATGATTTTGAATATCCAACAACAGCCAGTATAAAATCGCATTGGAACGGGATGTATCAGAACTACATTTTGACATTGTTTGGCGTTTCGTACTTGGTGTGATGCCGTTGAAAATGTATCGTTTAATAAACCTTTCAGATGTAGAATATATTTGCACTCCGATTATAAAGATGTGTTCAGATTGAGAATTTAGAAATTCCAAGACGGGGGATTGGAAATCAAAGGCATATGAATCAACTTGGAGAACAAGTACCATCCAAAAAGATCTACAACAAGTCGTACCCTTGTAACAGCTGGGAATCCACGAACTCATAGGTTAGTGGAAAAAGCTGTCCACGTGTCCAAAAGAACAGCATGCAACACAATCAACAAGGCTTTCCGCCTGGAAAAGCGACAGAAGTCATTGTTATTATTAAGCGCAAAGCTACACAATTGGTTATCTGTTTTCTGCACACCACAGATATCAAAACCAATTCTTAGTGTTACAAGTTCTCAAACTTACTGCTGGGCAACTGGCGGGCGAAACAAGACACGAATACATAAGTTTCTTCCACAACGTATCAGCCCAACTGTCGCATAACTCAGGTAATTGAAGAACGAAACGGGTATCCGTGTTATTCTATGCAAAGACAAACATGTTAAGTGGTTGGATGCAGCGTGTATGAATTACTGTGCGATCATATTATCGAAACGTGCGCTGAGAAACCATCATCCTCGTACATTTGAAGAGTTATGAAAAGCATGCAGGAAATAATGGTGTTCTTTAGGAATAACATCCTTATGGGTGACCTTTAGCAATGTAAACTACAATGCAAGGATATTGTCAAGATGTATGGTCGTCAGATAGAGCATGACCGGACGTTGTGTCGTGAACTGTAGCGACATGGTGAGGCTATAAAATCGTTTTAAAACAACTTACTCAACTTCTATAGTCTACGTCTTAAATTAAAACCAGTTGCGAAAAGCCGAAGAATGAAATTAACTTTACAAAACGCCAAGCGTTTTTTCAAAAACTGTCTTTATTACGAATTTCTCATGTTAATATACGCTCACTACATTACAATTCGGTTTCAGGCTCTGTCTATATTTATATCAGATTTGTATGGACAAACCCGTTCCTATGTAATTCTTACCCATGGAAAGCCTATAGATATAAGTACAATGGTATGATATACCAGTTTAATAGACACAAAGTTGTAAAACTCGAGATTCGTATTTTTTAAACAACCTGCTTTTATTCTAGGCTAGTGTTTTAAATCCATTATTCTGCAGTTTCAGTCATGTTATTGCAAAACTTTATAAATATATATTATTATATAATTTTATTTCCCGTTTGTAACAATTCTTTGTTGTTTCCCAGTTTGTGTCCTTTTTTTTTTTCACCTAGATATTCAAGACGATGCTGGCGATACACGTTATAAAATATACTGAAAAATTAATCACTGCAGGTTGTTTTTTCCAGTTGTGTTGGAACAACCACTGATCTATAAAATAATAATAAAATGTCAACTGTTTAAAACCATTGTATAATTTGTATATTGTTTATTAATTTTAAATAAGACCTAATTTATCTGTGTGTATAAAAGTATTACAATTTAAAGTATTAAATGTAATTCAATTCGTATTTCAGTTATTTATAATATTAGATATATTTAATATGGGACATTAGAATTGTTAAACAGTAATAACTACAATGGTCAAATGTAATACACATGGTACATGAAACATTACATGTGACAATTTTGCTTTGATTCCTAGTAATTCGCTAAGCAGACCCAACCGCATAATGGGTTCTTGGGTTTGAAGGGCGGAAGTGCATGAAACATTATATATGTGGCAATTCTACTTCGGTGCCTAGTAATTCACTAAGCAGACCTAACCTCGTAATGAGTTTGAAGGGCCGAATACACTGTTAACAGCGAGAGTACCCAGCTGGTAATCCTGGGCAGAGTGATCATAGAGCCTATATGTGGTTTGCCTATTACTCATAATTAAAACTAATTATTACTCTTTGTAATTGTTATTGAAGAGTTTTAGGAACTATTAAATAACTGATACTGCCAGAGAATGAAAAAAAAAACACAAAATATTTATGTTTTATGCTCTGAGACGATTGTGTTGCGAGAGGTTCTGTGAAAGAAAATTAAATCATGGTGAGAAAAACTTAACAACAAACTTATTAAAAACATACCGGTTATACCGTCACCATGGTTGAGAGGAGGGTCCCAGTGGAGGTCAAGAGCATGCGACAAGATTTTGGACTCGGTGACTACCAGGTTTCTTGGAGCAGATAATGGAGCTTGAACAAACAAAAAGGTCAGTTTATTTTATTTATTATAGTGTAAGTATGTGTAAGAATCGAAACTACGTTAGATATATGGTACATTGTTTTCATTATTAAGCAAAAACTGTATATATTGGTAACGGATACTGATACAAACACAAAATAACTGAAAGATTTATCATAATAGAATACTTTATTCTATATATATGAATATATAATAAAGAGTCACGATCTCATTATCAATTTTTATTTCAATAGGTAACGCTTTTGCAACACTAAAAATTATTCCTCAACCAACAACAAACCATTTTTTTAAAAACTTGGATTATTGTTGGCTAAAGAGCAACATTAATGTTGCGAAAGCGCTACCTATTGAGATAAAAGATTAATCTTGAGCTCACTCTTCTCTATTCTTGATATTACTAACATGTTTAAGTTGTCTTAAGAATAAGTGCTATAGTTTCATTTTTAGCCTAATTGCCATAGCTTGTATAACTGTAATCGTCACAGATTTAAAAGTGCTGGCTATACGCTTTCCTTTTTTGTGATCTTAAGTTCATGAAGACAGAGATTTACCGTTATCTGTTTGACCTGGTTGAACCTGAACACGATCCTTTATACATGTTTCTTCACATTCCTCTTTGCTTTTGAAATTATTTTTGTTCCCTCCACAGCCTCCGTAGATAAATTCCTCGCACTGTTGATGTTCAGAGTTGTAATAGTAATTCCTGAAGTATGCTAAACAGTGGCCAGATTCTTTTGGGAGGTTGCACTCGTTGTCTGAAGTCGTTACTTCACTTGTCTTGAGATCTGCTAAAACTTTATAATAATCACTTTAAGAATGTGTATTTGAATTTTTACTTTCAAATAAACTGAAAACTGATTAGAGAGCAACAAAACAGACAACGCCAAGGGTAAGTACTGAGCTTTAGACCCGATCCCCCTTTAAGTTGCAGAAAAGTGATTTTTTTTCTAGTTCTGTTTTATTGCATTTAGTCATTTTTTCCTCGGATTACAACGACACCAGCCCCCATTCCTTTTCATGGCTACGCCTCACGTAACAGATGTAGTGACTAATACTATAAGAAAAGAAACTTTTCATTGTATTTCATCACTAAACTAAGAAAGTTTGTAAAAATTAATAAATGAGGAATTTTGAGGACAAATTTATGATCAGTTTCTTTGATATATTATGCTTCAAGTGGGACGTGCGATAATAATAATAATAATTAAATATAAACAGAAGACGCTGGTTTTGAATAAGTTAATTATAAGATACCTTACACATTACAAGAATATTGATAAGATTTGATAATGTTTGTAGCTATCATAATTAAAAATAGTTTTATTCCTAACATTTTAATGACAGTAGTATAAACGGACGATAATCAATGCAGGACTTCCTTGTAAACTATTGTAGCATTGGATTCGTTGTCTGCTGAACAAAAAGTACAAATGTTGAGTTTTTAATAAATTTCGTACTTCTAGATCTGTTAAATGATATTCAGTGTTCTACACTGCATACTAATTAAAATGCTTAAAGCATTTTATAGCTGGATGGAATGTTCAAAAATCTTAATTACTTAATACACAGATACAATGATGCGCAAATTTTACACCTTTCTATACATAAAAAAGTATTCTTTGTGGCTCGTTAAGCGAAGTGCTCGTATCTTAACGCTTAAGTCGGACCTCCCCCATAGATATATTACATATGGAAGTAGTCTGATCATGCGACGTGTCAGGTGTTTGGTTTCGCTGCAGAACTACAGTCATAGTTCCGTTCAACTTACGGGGAAGACATAGGAGGCCATATCCAAACGCTGACCTCTTATGTCAGTCCTTGGGATCCTCAATGATACATGCCAGGTTTGGTGAAAATCGGTCCAGCTATAAGCGGACACGCACACATACAAAATTTTATCAGTTAATGATTTAGGTTATCGTTACTCTCCAGGACAACAAGTAAGAGCATGGATGTCACCGACTTTCGAAAGGGAGGGGGGGATAATAGGTGCTTCTTTAGCATAAGCATTGTTATCAAAGACAATTTTTTGTTAGTTTTTCAACAGTAACGATCATACAAGAATATGTCTGCTACTAGGAATACCCGTAACCATCAACGTATGATAACTGACCATGTAAAAAGGCAATTGAAAAGGCTTGTAAAGCGCGACAGACGTCAAACAGTGTCCCGATTGACCGAATCCTTCAACAGCATCTCAGAATTCGAGTACCTTCAAAACTACCAAATAAAAGAAAAAATATATATCAATATCAGATAAGTATAATTTTGTTATCTACAGCTTTCAGCTGGTCGTGGAATGGGTTTGTTACCAACAGTTCTTAGCTGGTCGTGGTATGGGTTTTGTTACTTACAGCTCTCAGCTTTTCGTGGTATTAATTTTGTTATCTACAGCTCTCAGCTGGTCGTGGTATGGGTTTTGTCACCAACAGCTCTTAGCTGGTCGTGGTATATGGGTTTTGTTACTTACAGCTCTCAGCTTTTCGTGGTATTAATTTTGTTATCTACAGCTTTCAGCTGGTCGTGGAATGGGTTTGTTACCAACAGCTCTTAGCTGGTCGTGGTATGGGTTTTGTTACTTACAGCTCTCAGCTTTTCGTGGTATTAATTTTGTTATGGTATGGGTTTTGTCACCTAATGTGAGTTTATATGATATTGTTTCATAAATATGCTCTGGTTGTCTTTCCAACCTCTTCTTGTTCAGGTATAATTCTGACGATGCACAAGTTAAAAGTTTGTTTGTCGGTATGCTTGCTTACAAACAAGTTTCTTTTATTCAGCCATTCGAGATTTTTAAAAGCGTTAAAATTAAATTTCAAGAAAATGTACAGGCGAAGCTTTCACAGACTACCCCAAGTTAAACCGAATCGTTCGCGGAATATCCCGAGTTGAACCGAAGCTTTCACGGAATGTCCCGAGTACAGTTGGAACTATACGGAGTGTCTCGAATCAAATGTAGACCTGATATATCAAATTGTTCAGAAAAATTGACTATAGGGACAAACAGTTAATCATGATATGTCTAATGGTTATATGTTAACGCTTTATAGAGTCGTATAGCCATAAAAAAGTAGCTTCACTTGTAAGTTTATATATTGCACATAATATCAAATTTACATTTAAACCTTATTATCACCTAGTTACAATACAGATTTTTTTTTCTTTGCCGCGGCATAGCGGCTCATAGAATAGGTCTGAGTTTTTTGGTTTGTTTTTTTCAAGCAAAAACTTTTAGCTCATAGCTCCATTATCTTTTTACCGATTTGAGACCTAATTACAGTTCTGGACTCAGGGAGTCAAACTCTTTCAAGGTCTTGTAGGTTAATTTACTCTAATCTTGCCTAAAATAATTTCAATTTGAGGATAGGCTGGTAGAGATACTGATGAGTAATAAAATCGAAATGGATATTCTCGCCCCCCCCGCCTGATATTACTGGTGTACAAAAATATAGCTAATAAAAAGGGGGGGAGGTCTCGTAGATTAATGTACTCTAATCCTGCCTAAAAGAATTTCAAGTTCCGCGGCTATTGAGCATTCCCTCTTGTTCATCATCAACGAGCGTTCATTAACCACTGTGAATTAACTGTATTTTTTAACATCTACATACTTTTATTTGCATCAAAAATAAAGTCGTCGGAGGGTGGTCCGGCGCCGTTTATTCCACGAGCTTGTAAGCGAAACACATATCTAGTCTCAGAAGTAACCTGGTGAGGTTGTGGGACCATTGCAAACGTTTCGTTTCCCTTGGTTGATTCTGTCTCCCATCTTCCACGAGATCCTGGTGTATCGATTATATAGAAGATTGTGTAACCTAAGTAAAGCAGAATGAAAATAATAAATTATATTCTTGTCAACAAATGTACTTGAACTAGAATTTCATTCACAAAAAGGACTTTTACAACAGTAGTTTTGGGAAGATTGTTTTAATGAATAAGCATTTCACAATATTATGTGTTAGCTCTAAGATCCAAAATCGGTCTCGACCAAACTGTTTGATCAAATTGCGATCTCTTTATGTGAAAATGCCCAATTCAGATCATGATTTAATCAAACATTTCAACCACTGAACAGTTTCATACTTCGGTGCTAATATATATGTTACATTTAAGTAATTATAATTTGACAGTATGACTAACTTGGACTTATTCACACTTTATTTATAATAAGAATTATCATTGACATACAAAATTAGTTTCACAAAGAGTGTCACTCCTAATAACTGTCACTAAATTTTAGATTGTAGTTCACATGACTTAGTGAGGAATGTTCGATTGGAGGAATGAACATTTTATTAACAATTGTTTTTAGTGCAGAAGTTTATCAAGCAACCAGAATTACAACTTTTTGCAACATATGTGATACATGTGACTTGTAATTAAGATAATATCAAATTAAGTTGACTACATACATACCAACTATATCGTTGTCATGGCTTAGAGGGGGGTCCCAGCGGAGCTCGAGAGAATGTGACAATGTTCTGGATTCAGTGACCACTAAATTCCTCGGAGCAGATAGAGTAACTAGAAGAAAACAGTAAATAATAGCAACAAGTTAAAAATATCCTTAAATCGCTTCTTATGACGAGTTTACACAAAAAACAATGTTTAATAAAATTGCACTGCTCTACCTCACATTGATAATACAAGATTGAAAAGATTTACAAAAGAATATGGATTTATACACTACTTACCATTACTTATAGTGTATATTCTGATAACAAATTAGCTACTTATTGTTCTTCCTAAACAAAATAGGAGTGTCAATAAATTACGTATTCCAAGTATGAAATGTTGGCAAATGGAGCTGAAAATTGCGCATGCCACTTTATGTCGTGCAAGAATGACATGACAACAAGTGGAGCTGAAGATTGAGTATGTCAGTTTATGTCTTGTAAGTATAACATGCTGGTTAGAAGATCTCAAGACTGAATATTTCGGTATATGTCTTTTAAGAAGAATGACACCAGTAACTGGATCTCAAGACCGTATATGTTAGTTTACGTCTTGCAAGTATTATATGATTTCAAGTGGAGCTGAAAGTTTAGTATGCCAGTTTATGTTGTACAAGTCTGTACTGCTGACAAGTGGAACTGAAGATTGAGCATGCCTGTTTATGTCTTGCAAGTATGACGTGCTGGTTAGTTTACGTCTTGCAAAGTTTTCCTTACAAGTATGGCTTGTTGAAAAGCGAAGTTAAAGGATAGAAGGTAAATTTATATCTTACTTGTACTGGGTCAGCAGATGTATGTTGATCAGAATAAATTATATATTGCTAGTGAAAGTACCCGGCTTGGCTCAGGTTATTAGGTTGATAGTGTGTGTGTGTGTATTCTGAAACCAGTTTAGCATAAAAGTATATAGGTTATACTTTTGATGCTAAGCAACATAACATAAAAGCCATTGTTGGAACCCATTGTTATCAAAACGAACATAGATAATCAATAATACCCTGGTGCACACCCTCATGGTCCACTTAGTATGGGTGCAAAAGTTCTGGTTTTTAGGTTCCTTCCTCTTGGAGCTATGGTGGTCCCACATACACAGACACGCAGTTGGGCATGCGCATGCACACACGCACACACGTGCTTGTCTGTCTGTTATTTCTCTTTGTAATATAAGGAACTACTTCTTTTCTATGTGGTTTGCGCTAGCTTGCCTCATTAAAAAAGAGACACACGCATGTAGTTAAGTAATAACACCCAGGTGAACACCCTCAGGGTCCATTTAGTATGGGTGCAAAATTTCAGGTTTTTAGGTTCTTTGGTCTAGGAGCTGTGGCGGTCACATTATTTTCTATGTGGTCTTTCACTAGCTTGCCTCACAAAAAGATGCCCCCTAGTGGCACAGTGGTATGTCTGTGGACTTACAACTCTAGATTCCGGGTTTCGATATCCGTGGTGGGCAGAGCACAGACAGCCCATTGTGTAGCTTTGCGCTTAATTATAAACAGCAACAACACAAAAAAATACGCTCGCGCACGCGCGTGGATAAGTAATAATACCCAGGTGCACCCCCTCAGGGTCCACTTAGTATGTGCGCAAAATTTCAGGTTTCTAGGTCCTTTTCTTTTGGAGCTATGGCGAACACAGACTAACAGACACGCCCTTTTGTTATTATAGATATATATAGTTTTATATAACTATGTAAACTTTTCACTTATATTGATCCGAATAAATGACGCATTGTAATTTTATTTAATTGTATAACAGTTCTTGAGTAAATATTTTACAAATATGAAAATCTAAGTTGGTTCGTCTCATATTAACCCTATTAACTTTGGGAATCATATTCGTTTTCATCTGTCTATATTCTTTGAATCCAACTTTCAAAACATTAATACACACCTAGAATGTAATACTTTATGTATGAAATTTTGACATCAGTTTTATATAACTTTCAACAATATGTCAAAAACACGCTGTACAAATAGCATATAAGTTATTATTTAAAGCTTTGTACTGTCAGTTTCGGTTTGTGTTTTAGTGAATGCTCCTGAAGAAGCTGTAAAGCGAAACGTTGAGTGTTTAATTAAATAAAAGCATAAAAACAGGTCGTTTATTTATAGTATTGATCTGTCATTAAAACTGTATGGGCCACTAGAGTTGTTGTTTTCTTTGTTTGTTTGTTTTTTTAGAAAAAAAGTGTTTTTTACGTGCTCAACACATAATATGGTATTGAAAGTAAAAACACAGCTAATAAAATACGTATGCTTAAATATTGCTTTAATAATGGCTCAACTGCTCAACACCTTTTGGTTATTGGAATTTTATATTTGTGAGACTCCTTAAAAAAGCTCTGCGCACGAGCCTCTTAAAGTCATGGTTCCTTGATCCCATTTTTTACTTTGAAAAATAAATGTAAGTGCAATATTCGTTAAATCAAGTTACCACTCAAAATGAAGGTTGCACCTGTCAATGAGACCATTTGTTTATACAGCATTTTCATCACAGTTTATAGAATCGTGTTCGTGTTATGCATGATCAAACGCGAGGGAGGAGAGGTTGTTGAAAAAGATCATTTTTTTCAAAAGTGATACGGATCATTTCGGTGCGATTAGAAATGGATGTTTTTACATCAATGTAAACAAAATCTACAATTTTATCTTATACAAAGTTGAAAGAAAAGTTAAAACGTGATATATTCTATTTATTTCATGCTGAAGCTGTTATATATATATAAAGAATATAGCTGTTAATTATATGAAAATAGAATACATACTTGTTTGTCAAAAGAATTAAGGAGGCATATAATAATGGTTGGAGACGGCTTGAATGGGTAATGAAGAAAAACTTTAATATAAGTTTAACATAACAGCAAATGTACAGCGTTTCGACAAGGTTTTGTCATAATCAGGTACCTGCTGTATGTATGTGATTAAGAGGAAATTTTTCTTAAAATTAAATTGATAACTACCACCCTTGGGAAGTCTCCATTTATGTATAGCATTTGCCTCGAAAATTTTCATATTTCTTTTAAATGCAATTCCTCCGTTATGTCAGCGGTAACTCTACTGACTTGCAACTAAAATTTCCATATTTCTTTTAATGCGATTCCTCCGTTATGTCAGCGGTAACTCTACTGACTTGCAACTAAAATTTACATATTTCTTTTAATGCGATTCCTCCGTTATGTCAGCGGTAACTCTACTGACTTGCAACTACAATTTTCATATTTCTTTAAATGCGATTCCACCGTTATGTCAGCGGTAACTCTACTGACTTGCAACTAAAATTTACATATTTCTTTTAATGCAATTCCTCCGTTGTGTCAGCTGTAACTCTACTGACTTGCAACTAAAATTTTCATATTTCTTTAAATGCGATTCCTCCGTTATGTCAGCAGTAACTCTACTGACTTGCAACTAAAATTCCCATATTTCTTTTAATGCGATTCCTCCGTTGTGTCAGCTGTAACTCTACTGACTTGCAACTAAAATTTTCATATTTCTTTTAATGCGATTCCACCGTTGTGTCAGTGGTAACTCTACTGACTTGCAACTAACATTTTCATATTTCTTTAAATGCGATTCCTCCGTTATGTCAGCGGTAACTCTACTGACTTGCAACTAAAATTTCCATATTTCTTTTAATGCGATTCCTCCGTTATGTCAGCGGTAACTCTACTGACTTGCAACTAAAATTTCCAAATTTCTTTAAATGCGATTCCTCCGTTATGTCAGCTGTAACTCTACTGTCTTGCAACTAAAATCCGGGGCTCAATTCCATGCAGTGGACAGAGGGCAGATAGCCAATTGCTCAGTATTGTACTAGGAAAAACAATAACTTTTAATGCGGACTTGTTTCTAGATTTTAGCATTGTGAAAATGAAAGGTTTTGGCTTTATAGTTACTATGAAATCGGTTTTTTTATGTTTATCCAAGTAGTTTTGACAAATCGATTAATTATTTTGCAGTAGTATAGTACGAAGATTACTTAATGATGTTAATGAATTATTTATATAAGGAAGTGCATATTGTTCTAAACATTATCGTACCCGTTTATTATTATTATTATTGATGTTTCGGTATGAATGATTAATTTGATCTGAATGTATATAAAAAATCGGTAAATAAGACAGGAGTTCATAATACTTTTATTTGGCTTAACGACAGTTTTTCGTTGGTTTTTCTTTTACGTTTATACGAGCAGTTATAAGTGATGCTCTCACTTGCACCTTAGGAACAGGCACCAATCGTTTGTTTATGCAATAACATTTCAAGACTAGATATGATATAGGTTTCTCTACAAAAAAATACTTTTCTCCTTTTCTTTTAATTGCTTGTCTCTGCTATTATATTTTTATTTTTTTGCTGGTTGTTCCTATTTGTTGGATGGGGATTTTTACATTTGCAACATTTTGATATGAATTACTATTTGTTGGCAAATAGTTCAAATAAGAGCCTTCACAATTTATCAACCTGTAGGGAGTTTGAGTTGTTAAAACGTGCGTTATTAGAAACTGCTATAGAGATAATGTTCTAGCTCAGTTGGTAAAATATTCGCCTTTACTGCGAGCGATTCGAATTCAAGTCCGACACGCGAAAGACTCACTTAGTCTTATTTGATATTGCTGCATTGTACTGGTCAATTAAAATAAATTATCAAATCTTCTGTATTTGCAAGTTAGATCTATATATATAAACATGGGAAATCTTATTTTGTTTTCGGTATTGCTCTTATTAGCATAACAATTCTTTAAATAGTTAATTTCAAAAGGTGAAATGGTCTCGTGTCTGTAAAAGAATATCTATGCTTTAACAACCATCACAATAATCACAGAATATAAATATACACAAACTACACTGTGCTTAATATGAATGTTTATAGAATAGAATTGAATGCTTAAACAATAAATTATAAATAACATTTCGTTATAAGCAATACTAAAGTTAAGAATGCAACAGAAGGTCAGACTCACGTGCTATGGTTTGACATATTAAGCTGCATAGAATAAGTATACAAAGCTTCATGATCTTATAAGTCAAGACGTTTCTCCATCTAAGGTAGAACCACTGTCTGTCATTAAGCTTTATAGCCGGCGAGACAAAAACCACGTGATTACATCTCTCAACCTCGTAATAGTTTATGTCGTATACATAGAAGGAATGTGCTGGGCGTTGGAATCTCTCAGTGACACAGCTATCAGTAAGGTTTGCTCCGTTACGTTAAGTACCGAATGGAATTGGAAGTTGAGGGACAAGACGTGACAGAGAGAAGCAAACAAGAAGATCATAGGTTACCAAACAGTGGTCCATTTATGATGACAACTTTGTTTATACCATTCCAAACGGTCATGTAAAATACTGAATATATCAAATAAAATACTCCAAAACCGGAGAGATTATCTAAAGAACAGACTGTCGACTTTAGTCATTAAAGTAACCCTACACAGAATAATATGTTTTATAATATCTGTATCAGAATAGTTACACCATCGAGAAAAAGATTGGAATGGGTATATACAGATCGTTGAACGTGGTTATTGCAATAAATCAACAACGTAGCGATTTTCTTTAAATGTCTATATCTGAGTATTTATACAAGCCAGGAAAAGATTGGAATAGGTATATACAGATCGTTGAAACGTGGTCATTGCAATAAATCAACAACGGAGCGATTTTCTTTAAATGTCTATATCTGAGTATTTATACAAGCCAGGAAAAGATTGGAATAGGTATATACAGATCGTTGAACGTGGTCATTGCAATAAATCAGCAACGGAGCGATTTTCTTTAAATGTCTATATCTGAGTATTTATACAAGCCAGGAAAAGATTGGAATAGGTATATACAGATTGTTGAACGTGGTCATTGCAATAAATCAACAACGGAGTGATTTTCTCTAACTGTCTATCTGAGTATTCATACAAGCCAGAAAACGATTGGCAACGGTATATAGAAGTTGTTGACCTTGGTCGCTAAGTTAAGCCAAGAACAAAAATAAATTTCCTTAAAATGTATATATCTGAGTATTAATACAAATCAGAAAACGACTGGAATGTGTATATATATATAGATTGTTGACCTTGGCCATTGAATTAATCCAAAAACAGAGTAATTTCCCTTGAATGTCTATATCTGAGTATTAATACAAATCAGAAAACGACTGGAATGTGTATATATATATAGATTGTTGACCTTGGCCATTGAATTAATCCAAAAACAGAGTAATTTCCCTTGAATGTCTATATCTGAGTATTTATACAAACCAGGAAAAAACTGGAATAGGTATATACAGAATTTTTAACTTGATCATTAAATTAAACCAAGAACTGAATGATTTTTATTACCTGCATCTAGAAATATACTAGGTGTACTTATGCAGGTTCCCCGAAAGTGTTTTGTTTCAAAAGTAAATAAAACCAAAATTAAGAGTAACAAATACATTTATTTATTACTTTTGAAGTTCATATGTCATGCTGTATTATAGCCTACAGAGTTCATAATTCTTCTCATGAGTTATGGCATGCGCACGTTTTTACTGACATTACGAAAGTACAAATTGCAACGTTAAGCGTTTCTTATGTGACGTAATTTTATGGTCTACTGACTAACTGACAGACAACACACTACTGTATAGTGATGTGAGTGGTTAAAACAGGTGACCCCTTCAGGTGGCTTTCGCCCCCCTTTTGGGGAAATTACGATAAATCGTTTACAAACAGAAATAACATACTACCACACACTTCCAAGCAAGTCACTCAGAAGTTACGACGAAAACTTTTAAAAATTAAAGCAAATTCACATTATATTGATAACGACTTCGATCCGAACCCCACTTGTTTGCTTTACTGTTTCGGCGCATCTGTCATTTCATTTCATGTTCATCCATTTTTTGCCTGCTCTCTCCTAACAAAGTAAACATTTGGAACCAAATGCAGTTCAAGTATGTTTCTTTATAAGGTTTTTAATAGATCTTTTAGCCTTGCATGGCCTGGTGGTTAGGGCACTCGACTCGCAATCTGAGGGTCGCGGGTTCAGTTTACTTTCACCGAAAATGCTCGCCCTTTCAACCGTGGGGGCGTTATAATGTGCCGGTCAATCCCTCTATTCGTTGTTAAAATAGCAGCCTAAGAGTTAGCGGTGGGTGGTGTTCACTAGTTGCCTTTCCTCTAATGCATCACTGCTAAATTAGGGAATGTTATTGCAGATAGATCTCGTGTAGTTTTGCGGGAAATTCAAACCAAACCATGAACAAGTAAAATATCGAATAAAAATAAACGTCCCAAAAAACCAATTACTAACTTTTACAAGCTTAACAAAACACAGAAAAAGACCCACCTAAACTATACATGAACTGAACACTTCTTCAGACCACAACCTCGGCAAAATTTTTAGGATTAACCTTAGACCCAAAACTGACGTGGATAAAATATACAAATAATATATTAACAAAAATCTGGAAACGCACAAATTACGCAAGAAGTTAACAGGCAAAAAACCAAGGAACATCACCTGACAACATTATTAAAATATACAAAGCATATATACGCCCCGTAATAGAATAGGCTTGCCCTGCATGGATAGACATAGCTCCCAAACATATAGATAAGCTACAAACTATACAAAACACACTTATCACCACAGCATATAAAGTCCCTCGCAGTACCTCATCAAAGTTCATGCACAGATATGCAAAAATACAAAGAATACCCAATAGACTCTTGCATAATACTATAAATTACTTTGCAAAAAACTGGCAAAAGAATGACCTACTCTGCAAACTTTATCGCTACTACATACATGATGGAAGTAGACCTAAGTACCTCTCACCTGTAAACATTTACTTTAAAAATAAGGATGTAATAAGGCCACCTATTACTAGACTTTAAACCGTACACTAGTTAGACTAAGAGCAATACATTTAATAGGGTTTTTTTTTATGTAAGATGCATTTGATTAGTCTAACTAGTGAAATGTGTTGTGTGCATTATGGAACTGACATAAGAGATATATATAGTGCAAAACACAGAATGAAACTGTAGATACCTACATGGACATTGCCCTGAAAGGGGTCGGAGCAAGAGCGGTTTACCCTGTGGTTCAACGGTAAGCTTCACGTCTTATAACTTTAGAATTCTGGGTTCAGTTAAGTATAATCACTATATGATGATATATAATATAATAAGTATAATCAAGTAAATACATGGGCAGGTGGTTAGGGCGCTCGACTCGTAATCTGAGGGTCGTGGGTTCGAATCCCCATCTCACCAAACATGCTCGCCATTTCAGCCGTGGGGCGTTATAATGGGACGGTCAATCCCACTATTCGTTGGTAGAATAGTAGCCCAGTAGTTGGCGGTGGGTGGTGATGACTAGCTGCCTTCCCTCTAGTCTTACACTGCTAAATTAGGGACGGCTAGCGCAGATAGCCTTCGTGTAGCTTTGCGCGAAATTCAAAACAAACAAACAAAATCAAGAAAATAATTTTCTACAGAACGTATAGAATCTGTTAAAAAAGAGAATGAAGTATTTTTCCCTTTCTGGGCTGTATAAATTTTACAAAGTTACAGAGCTTGAAAGTTAATCGATGAAACGTTTATACCCATAAACTCCTAAGTTCATCATTTAGTAGCACACCATGTAACAGGATATACCTTTAACTTGATTCCCTGATGACAGCACTCATTCTCTAATACTGTCCAGATCACAAGACTGTCTACATATCTAACCTTGAGAAGACTGGGATGGTGCTAAAAGATTTCATCCCTCATAGCTGGTATATCAACCATAGATTTTAACAGAGGTTTATCTAGTCTTATTTTATACAGAGGAAAACAAAATGCACGTGTTATTCCTTAATCTTTGAATATTAGGCTTTTTTTAATACGTATAAATTATTTATTTTAACCCTAACCTTAGAACTTTTCGACTTTTTGTACAATATTCATTAGTAAATTGAGCCGGGCGTACCCAAGTGATTAGCGTGTTAGATTATGAAGCAAAAACCTCATTCCGCACATTGGAACCGTGGACGCTAAAATGGTGAAGAATTAGAACAGCCAAGAGGTGGCGGTAAATGCTGCTGATTAGCTGTCTTCCCTCTAATTTTATCAGTTGAAAATAACGCAGATAGACCTTATGTAGCTTTGTATGAACTTCCGAAACAAACGAACGGAAGATGACTGCTGTCGCTTGCTGGTAAAAAAGTACTAACACTAGTACTGGCGTTTAAAGAGGTAATATTACTGATGATAGCGTATAAAGTCGACTAGTTATCCTGCGTCATTAAACCGGAATAGAAATGGTTTACTAAGAGTTTCGTTGTTTTCGGCCGGGATAGAAATGACTTGTTAAGAGTTTCGTTGTTTTGGGCAGGATTTGACGTTGATACTACATTTGCACTTCACCAATCGGTATTTTGATATTTTTACTTATTTATCACGTGATTTATCACTGTGATCTTCAATTGGTTGTTGCGAAATTAGAGGCTTAAGATATATTTATCTGTGCGACGTTTTCATGTACCAACAACAGCGATGTATGGTAACACATTTTGTTGATGTAATACATTGATGTACAGAATTTATAAATAACTGATTAAACTTGGTTGGTAAAAATATATAATTTTTTTGTTGTTTTTTTCAAGTGCAGACTTGCATATCATCACGATGTTTCAGTAAACGTTGCATTTTCAATTCACAGCATCTGAACTGAACGTATCAACTGGCAGAGTAGTATGAGCAATATCTAATTGTTAAGTAAGCTGTACGTAGTGATATTTTAAATTCTGGTGATAATTAGGTGATCTATTTAATATTTAACCTGGTTTAACGATATATTTAATTCATGTTGCAACATAATTAAAGCATTTTACTATACGGTAAAATGTTATTTCAATAAATAGATTTCAATTGCCTATAAAAAAAGGGGGTGGAATTCTAAGACCCCATGAGAGAAAGCAAAGGAGAATATGTTATAATACGTCAACCACACTACATCTATCTTATCCAATGCCAACAAGGCATTTCGCCCAAAGACTATGTTATA